AAATGACCAACTTCTTTTGATACATCACAGAAAGATCCACTCACGTCCATACATGCTATCCACGCCCTCCATTGTAAAATTACGTGTCAAAATTGTCTGATGCTCGTTGGAATGTCCAGCACTAATGAAACATCATTACTTTCTTTCACCGACTGAAAAGTCGCAGCATAATATTTTCAGTCCACTACTGACATTTGCCGAAAGATGCCAGCTATCTAATGTGTCTTATAGGATTATTCCCTCTTGCGTTTCACTTGATGTCTGGATGAATTGCGTGCAGTGGAAGATGAACTACAGGTCTCACAACGATGGAAATGGACTGCCGAATTATCACTTGATCCTGTGGATATGAGCAGACGAATCAGTGAGAGGTGGTTTCATTCTTGTGCTGAGTCTAGGTGCCCATAGCTATACAACTTAAAAATCGAGCAAATTGCACTTCCAGTAAAGTAAAATTAAAAGGATTTGGTTTAGTAGTTGTATGTTCAAAAACTATCCCTCACAGTTCCTTCATTGCCCTTGGAAAAACCGATCTTTTTTCACTTTATCAGAGGTGGCTTAAAGCGCTAAATGGGTCTTGGTAGCAAGCAAAGCCCATCCAAACGACTGTCCGTTTCTACGTTAATTTGTTTACTTCACGGGGTCTAATATAGTCCACAAAAGGCACTTCAGGGGTAGTTTTTAGGACCCATTAAGTATGGGCTCTTCTTCTTTCACAAGGATTGCACTTTTAAACCAAGAGATCTTGGAACTACGCGAGTTCCTTACTCTCCGCTGGCCGCACCAACTTGGTTCCCTTTCTGTGTACTAGCAACCAACTATTCTTCGACATTACAGTGTCATTTGAGTCGATGCAGACATGTCACTCGTGGGTGTCTACCATAATTTGGTCTCTTTTTTGTGCCATCATGCTATTTAACAGAGGTCAAATTGGGTCGGAGGGAACTGGCTGGTGTGTCATGTGTGCACCACTGAATGGTCCCATCCGTCAACACGTTGACAGTGCTCTAACGGATTAGGCTTTCCAGAGTCAAAATGCGGCCGAACGAATTTCTACTTTACTTATTTTAAAATAGAGCTTTTCGGTATTTTCTTCATTTCTCACAAATCGACCTATATACTTCGCTGTTTATATGTTCCGCAAATGGACTGATACTGACGACCACCACTTGTAGCGTAAAATATTCTTCTGAAATTAGTTTAATTCTTCTCTACGCAAATGCTGGATCGTCTTTTATGCATGTGTCATTATGCAAATTCAGGAAGGTTGCACGTTGGTGGATTGGCGATAGTGACAAAAAAAATAAATCCTAATGAATCATCATTTTGGTCTCTTTGATTGATTACCAAAGCTCCCTGTGACACGGATGGGTGATTCGATGGAACCCTGCTACTAAGGTATTTTAAACGGTGCCCTTTTTGACAACCTCCCATAAGCGGCAAATACATGCCGAGCTGACCTTAAGAAGTGGACTTATGCCATAGGAAGGCAATAAGCTCGTTTTTAAAGTATATATCCACTTATATTCCCCTTCAATACCATTCGCTTAAAGGGTAAACAATTGTTCCCTCTTCAAGATGCAAATTCATCATATCCGTGGTTTAGCCTCACTGTTAGTTGCAGATTAGTGAGTCAGGAAAATGCACCGATGGCTACGTCTAAGAGAAGAAAAGAGGGCACAATGACTACTGGATACATTTGAAATGTCAAATCTTCGATTTTATAGGCTGTACTTCCACTATGCCATGCGAATATTCAGACTTGCCTCCTCTGTGACTTTAGGGAAGAATCGGGGGTGCTGCGCCACCAAAATTCCTCAGGACCTTCGCCAAACTAATGATTCTCTCTTCATAAATATGAACATCTCATAGAGGGAGGTAAAGAGAAATGGAAATGATGAATGTGTTAAATAGGAGCACAAGCAATCAAAAGACCAAGCACATCCTATGTCAGATGAGACATTTAGATTTGTCTCAATACATTCGACATTCCTTCTACTCTCCACCAATTCTTCATTCCAGATTTCAAATCTGCAATTTACGTCACGGAATAGAACAGTGATGGTGTAGGTGGTCGTAATGGAGCTGGAATATATTCCTCCGGATTAATTCGGTCATAAACTATGCTTAGAGAAACAAACCTCAGTGGTGTCGAAACTTCAGCTAAATGTGTCTGTCATAACTTCTGTGAAAGCAGTGGTGTTAGTGGTGCCGTGTTACTCGCGGTACATGCACCTTCAGGATGGAGAACCCACCTGTGGTCTTTAGACACACACCTCCTCCGTGATCTCACAGCAGTCCCACGTGTCTGGCTAGAACATAGTATATCCCAATTTCTTGGCTCGCCAAAATTTGGACAACGTAATCGTGTAAATTACCAAAAATGCTGATATCTCTCCAAAAAAAAAGCCCTAGAAAAAACTTACTATTTCCTTTACCAACCTACCACCTAAATTAAACTGGAAAAGAAGGTTTTAATATTGGATACAAGCGTTGTATAATCAAAAACCATTCCAATTTTAAGCTGCTTAAATATTAATATGTTTGAACCGCCTTTTACTTATATACTATTTCGTTGGAATAGGTCTCTGGAACTGAGGTTGTACACTCCTGCAAAAGGTTGACGTCATATTTCACTTACGCTTTTGAGGATAACTTAGTAGAGGTATTTGTGACAGCTCATGTTTTATTGTCAGACTATCACATCTTTTAACCAAACTGTATTACCCAAAGGCCCATTAGTGCTCTTATATTCCCTTAACCACTTTGTTGCGGTTTTCTACAAGACCGAAGAAAAAAAATTGCAAAAGGTGCATTGACACCATCAAATTCGTCAGCTCAGAGATTTTTCAATCATGCGATTTGCTTTTTTAGTCAGCTGAACCACATTCAGGAAATTTTTTATGCATTTTTTTTCGTCATCCTAGATCACAATTACAAAATTGACCTCTTCATCACTTTTTTTGCTATTGGAACTTTCATCCCCCTTCTCAAGTGTTTTGAGGAGCAACAGAAGTAAGGTACTCAAGATGAACGCGTGTAGAACATGCAAAAACGGCTTCTAATCGCAAATTTGACGACTAAATCTAAATTATGCCTGTTTGAAGTGTCATGTGCTGGAGTTTCTCAAATACAAGCACTATGGACTCTCTCAGGCTCGACATGAGTAATTGAGAGACAAAAGCTTTGATAAAGGTGAAGTGAGGCACAGAGATACGGGGTACCCATTCGACCCTAGCGGCTGGCTATGAGAGACTGTACTTTGTCTACTGAGAAAATGACCCTCTTGTCTTTACAGGTTCAATAATCCTAATAGTTTTTTGGAATGAGCAGCCCACCTCACATACGCCCAGTCCCTTCAAAGCACTTTCTAACTGGTCGATTCAGTCTTCTCAGGATGGAATAAAGCATGCCTCAGAGGTTTGGGAGACGTAGTGATTGGATCCTTTGACGATAATTAATGATACATTTATTTGTCCAGCGCATGAACACTTATTTTATCGAAACGCACGAGAAAAGTTATGGCTTTAAGCGGGCAGGCTGATTACAGCTGTTACATCACCCACACTAAAATTTGCTGAGTATTCTTCCGAAAAGTAGTCTTTGTAAAAGTCTGCGGCGTTTGTCCTTAACATTCTTTGTGACTACCTTATCAAGAGTCACTTTGACACGAATGCCAAACCAATTTTTTAACACCTGCGTTGACCGATGAGCTAAGGATCGTGGATTCCACCAAACAAGTGCGTCTACAGATGATCATGAACCTTTGCTTGTCCTTTTACTGACACATAATGCGAAGCAATTTTGCCAAGCATAATGTCTCTTTTGTCATCCTTAAACCAACCACTCACTACCCACCCGACGGGCACCTCTAGACGACTGCGCAGACAGAGCCATGTCGTAGGAATCGAACCTTTACTCCACGTCTTCCACAAAATGCACCCAAAGCTGGCCATTCAGTTGACTGGAAACCTTAACACCTATAATAAGCACCACAACACCCCCCCATTACTACGTTCAATAGAAATATTTCAGTATTTATATTTATATATTATCAGTATTCTGCCTTCTACCCAAGTGAATGCGAATTGCTCAGTTGGTAAATGAACGGGAGGGCATAGAGGGGCGTAGAACAAGAGGTGTCTGTAGTTAATATTATCACCCTATATATTATCTCGAAAACGTTTCTTTTAATCAATCAAACTCCGTATTTGCTTTGGAGGGAAAAACAAAAAAATTTCGCTAATAAATCATCTGAACATGTGATTTCTTTTTGGTATTTTTTTCTTTCTTCAAGGAAACAATGGGAAGTAACAGAAAAAACCTGAACAATTATGCAAGAGAGTGGTCAGCACTGCTAAATACACTTCAATTTTTTCGTTTTTTATTCCAAACTTTCAAAAACGTGATGCAGTAAAACTTGCTCCTTCTGGTTAAAATAGATAGAGATGCAAAATCATTGCGTTCTTTTTTCGCCTTTCCGAGATCGGTGTCTTGGCGTTCATGCTGAGCACTCCTGTTCGAGCATCTTGCGAACACAGACAACGATCTGATGAGGAATGATATTTTGTAGCGGTTCGATTGCCTCTGAAATAGGTGAGAAAGGAAAAAGGAAAGAATGTGAAAGATGTTTTTCCGGCTACTTTTTGAGTGGACAGAGAAAGAAAATGGTTGCTTACTTGCATCACTGCATTTGATCAACTTAGCCACCAAAATTGTGGTTTCTTCAAGCGACAGAGGTGGAAAGTTGTTTCTGCTTAAGCAAGATGGCTCCACTACTTCCGGTGGTCGCCTAGACATAACAGTGGTAAAGTGAGAGTAAGCATCAATGGCCAGATAAAGTAGAACTTCCAGACAATTGATAACCTACTTTCCTTGCCGTTGGGATTTCTTTGAACCATCTGAAAAAATAAGAAATGAATTATTCAGTGACAAAGGCGTAAGAAATAAAGCATTCCAATTTTTCACATGCCATATTCACAGACACTTGAAACAGACGAAAGCGATGTAGAAGTCGGAGTTTCATCGTCGGTTGCCTCAACGTCTATTTGGGTTTCAGAGTCTTGACTAACATCCTGAGAAATGCTTTTAGCGACAGGAGCAGATTCACCACTACCAGAGTGAGGTAAACTCGCTTGACAAACTCGAACCCAACTGAGTTCATTACGTTGAGGTGAAGGTCGAGACGCAGAAGGGAGGAGTAGACACCGTCTACGTCGATCACTGAGTCTGTGGTTCACCTTCGGGTGTCTCGAAGTATTTGTAATTGAATCATTATGTTGGCACCCTTGTAGAGAAGAGAGTTCATTGCAGAGAAGTTCAACAAGACGAGAGGTGTCAATATGACCTGGAGAGGTCTGACAGAGATTGGGAAGGCTCGAACACATATGTCCCATCCACCACCAGTGAGCACAACGCAGGAAGGATTGGGGATACAAGTTGCGTCTCTACAAAGGCGAATTGAAGGATTCTTAATTTAGGGGTAGTAGTTTAACATCACCTTAACGATAAAGGAGAAAGCGGGGCAAGAAATGTCAAATTTAAACCTGAAATCCGACTATGCTTAATTTATTGACTAAAAAGATGCAAAAACAAGGAAGGTGTGGGTAGTAAACGCCTAAATCTGGAGGAACTTAAAAATACAGGCCCAAGGAAGCAACTTCGATCTCCACTTTGCACCTGGCAGAGAAGAGAAGAGAACGATAAGGCCAAAGTCTAAATCGATTTGAGGCTGCTCTTCCCTTTTGAGGATTACATGCTCCACAAATACTGGCAGACGTTGAATGAAATCAAATTGCTTTTATAAACAGAAGTTAATGAGATGAATTCTCACTGCCAGTTGTATCAGCAACGTTGGAGTAAGAAGTCTTTTGAGAGCTAACTTGCATACGACTTACAGCAAAGTTGAAGATGTCATTGAGTATGCTGATAAATTTTTCACAGACGTCTTCCATTTGAACCGTTCCATTGACCTGTGTTTCCATGCGATTCGCTGTTTCCTGGGCGGAATACTCATTGGAAGTTTTTGAGTCGTTCAAGAGATCTTTGGTATTTATTCCCAACACAGTTGATTTTGGTAGACACTGAGCGATTATGCCAATGCTTTAAGAAAGATACACAAAATTTTGAATGGGTAAATCGCGGTGAATAAAGTTGCTACTTAATAAAAATCAATAATATGAATAAACAACTTTCTAAAAAATATCTTCATGGATCAAGTACGTGGAATTTTCCAATCTTTCGTAAATTAGTCTCATCTTCTTCGGCACATTGTGCACTTTTAGCCTTTACTGCTATGAAGTATTTGAAGCAGAAAATTGGCCTCAGTGAATCGGCAAAAAATATTTAAGCATTATGAAAAACATTTTAAAATTTTAGGATACTGAGATTGTGGTCAATGAGAATGGGGATGAAGGAGTACTCGCTTCCCTCCTCTTAACGACCTTTATCCCCAACCTGAGTTGGATTAGAGATTGCTCAAAGTTAAATATGAGCTACCTCTAGAGACTAGTTCATCAACTATCAACTGCTTCTACATTGTTATGCATAAGCATTCCATCGGCAGCTCGGATTGTAGAGGGCACGTACATGTTGAGGATGCTGATCATGCATTTTTCTTGCAGAGTTTCAGTGTATTTTGTGACAGACTCTCCATTGATGGTATCCTGGCGTCTGCGCATCATCTGCGGCATGAATATTTCGAAGGCAAGTGTAGCCAATGGAACAATGAGGCTACTCAAAGCCATCGCAACCGTCTCCACGTTCATTGGTTGTAAGTGGATGGGAAGTTCAGCCAGACTGCGTTGTGAGTTACAGCAGGTGTAGGCTTGTAATGAGATTTCTATGCGACGAAGAAGAAGGTAAGTGAATTCTAGTGAAATCTCAGAACTTGGAGCCACAGAAATGGTGCCGTTAGCATCCTTTTGATGTCTAAAATGAGGAAATTAGTAGACGTTGGGAAGGCGTGAGACTGAAAACTGCCCTTTCGGATAGAAAATAGTTTAATTAATTGCATAAATTTATCGCCTTTAGAGGTCTAGTTTAGTAGAAAATAAAATTGGTCGTTTTCTTCGCCCTTCCATCGCTTTTCCAAAATCCATTCTATCAGAGAGAAATTAAGATGGCGAGAAAGATGGCAGTCTCGATAATGAGGGAGTAAAGGAATACAACAGCTTTCCTGTACCCTTGTACAAACAGGAAACAACCAGTTGGCGAAGAATTCCCCCACTGCACAAATTCTATTCAATCCCTCGCTACGTAATTCTTCGTGTTCTTTGGTAAATCAAACTTTTGAAATCTTTGTTCACTTCGCAAATCTAACTTTTCTCGGATTCCTTAACTTACTCTGAATATCACCTCTACTTGCCGCCAGATGATCACCTAGTCATACACCAAGAAACCCGTCAGTTGCGAGAATAGTTAAAACGGAAACTGTACGTTGATTGGATGTGCTACGTAAGTCATTTAAGTAGCAAAAATTCGGTACAAAATATGCAAATTGCAAACAAAATATTTACTGAAATTATTAAGTAAAAAATTTTTCACCTACTATTAGGCTTTGTAATCCTTAGTTTATTTGTTTTGCTTTTTAAATACTCCCGAATTTCGTGCAAATGAAAAACATATAATCGCCACTGCAGATTGTTAATAGTGTCCAATTGATCAAGTAGTAATCCACCTACAATCCTAAGTAATATATTTTGCATGGAACTTCCTGTTGACAAACGAGGTAAGTAGAGAGTCCTAACCTTGTTGGCGATTCCGGAATCCATCCAAATGATTCGACATTCTTATTTCGCTGAATATTTGTCGAAGAAAGACGCTGAACTACCGCCACCAAACTATTAACTGCGACAATCTTGAGATGAAAAACGGACAAAAAAATACTTCGTTTATTAATTCTGTGGAGCAGTTTGATTTAATGATGTTCAATGAGCGACATTCTTCTAGAATCTACTGTTCTGCTTTAAATCAGTGCTGTAATAACAATGGTCTTATTTAGCAGATAAATTTTTATGATATGGAGGGAAGAAAAAAACATCTATTTGGTTCAAATTCATAAAAATACATCCTGGAATACCTTCAGAAAGTTGTACGACAAGCGAGAAACGTGCGCAACTGCTAGGGATGTCTAAATCCTCAGAAAACCCCCCTTTTTCAATATTCATTTATGCTTACTTCATGGCTTTCCAGGAAGTCACAAAACCCGCACTCTCGTTCAAGTCCTCTCATTGGCCAACAGCAAGTACACATAGACTTTAGTTTGACATCAATTATCAATAAGACCATGGCCAATTCATTTCCTCTAAGTACGTAAGAATAGGACCATCCAGTGTCTCCATCACTCAGCCAGCTGTCAGATATGCGCACTTCGCGTCCTCAACTCGCTTAGTCCTGCCGGCAGTAGAGGTATCCGCATTGAAGCACTCATCATTTTGCTATTCGGGTTAAAACTTGACAGACTACAAGCTAACGGACAAAAACAGTACATATATCGAGGGTCACATAAACTTTCTGGCAGTCAAACCAACCTGAATTTTGTGTTTTACTAATCACTAAAGCTCAATGAAAGTACCATTGAATAAATTGCCCACCTTCAAACTCACCAAAGCCTCAATGTCTAAATCCAGCCGAATGTCAGAATCAGTGCTATAGGATCCCCTAGAACCCTCCTCGAAAGCACGGTCACACTCTTTATCATCCCCTTGATCCTCCATCAGCTCATTTTCTCTTTCCTCCACTTCCCACATCTCCTCCATAGACGAGTTTATTTGAATTTGGCTGAGACGGATGCTGAGTGGTCCCAGTTGATGCACCGAGGTGAGGGCGCACATCACTACTTGGGTCGCGTTCAAGGTCACTGCATCAAGGGTCTCACGAGTAGCGATATAGTGTGCACAGGAACGGAGCCACACTCTTGAGCGTTCCACGTTAAGGAGGCCGTGGAGAAGACGTGAAGAAAACTGAGGAGAAATTTTCGAAGTTGATAACAAAAGACTGTTGTTCCCAACCTAGAACATAAAATTAGAAGGTTAAGAAATACAAAACCTTTTAACTCGGAATTTTGTTGGTTAGAGGGAAGATAATTTTATTCTTGCAAAACAGCACTACATCTTATGTAGCAAAACTTATTCGTGTGAAGATTTTCACTGGAGAATAGGGGAGAAAGAGAGAGAAAGGGAATTTCAAGGGAGAGGAGGACCCCTCACCTTCACTTTTATCCTCCAGGCTGTAAAGGTGACAAACTCTTAAATGCTAGCCTTTTTGGCGAGAGCAAACTGCAGACTTGCATGAAATGTTGACGATTGTGAAGTGAGTGGAATAAATACTAAGGCAGCTATAATTAGGCTTTTATCCCTAAAAACAAGGCCTGATTAAAAAAGCTGTCAAAATATTCTGTTTTTTTGTGAATTCTAAATTAATAAGTCAAATCACCAGGCAGCTAGGCAAAAAAGTTATTTTATACGCATAAAATCATCCATCAGGCCAAAGTATCCAAAATTTTCTACTCAAAAATAGAGTTGATGACCTCCGCGAATTTTTTAATTTATGAATAAACGGTTGCACAAATTGTTGAGAAATATCCCGAAAAATGGGTTCGATTGCGTGTAATATATAAGAGTGGGACGTCGTGGCACTGAGAATAGAAATATCTTAATACCGGCGAAAAGGTGGAAACTGGGCAAACTTAAGACAATGTAATCTCAGCAATTTAACCTTGCGAATGCGCAAAATTGACGAAAAAGGCGGAGTTTTAACGTATTAGACCCAAAAGGCCGTTTGAAAACGGGAACCGCCATATCGCGGAAGTCCCGCATTATTTACGCCGATTGAGTAACTTGTTGCAGCATTTCAGAAATCAACCATCGCGTTGAGATGTTAGGCTGAAATAAAATATATCACCAGAACGTTTCATTTTACTCATTTAAATGACTTCTTATTCCCATAAAGCAAAAGTGCCTGTTTTTAGTAATAAATTGTTTAAATCAAACAAGAGTGCTATTACTGGTTTCAAACATAATCACTGTTTCCTGGCAAACTTTGCTCACAACTAATTAGCGACTATTATTTTTAGGTTAATAGAAATTAGGAGTAAGAAAGTGGTCCAGAACAACTGAATGACGGGCAAATTCGATCAACGGGAAATCGGAACTAACAAAGTCTAACAAAAAATGGACCAATCGCACAAAACAATAAATTTAGCAATAAATTATTTCAATCATGCAAAATAGCTGTCAGTTCTGACTTCAAGTATAATAAAAAATAAAAGGAACTTCTACCTATAACATCTTTAGAAACGATTTCCTTCTCAGTGTAAATCAGGAATATGAAAGTCATTTGGATAAAATAAAGTGAGTGAAGCAGAATTGCACGACTTCTTCTAAGCAAACCGTAAAATTTTCTTCGTTTATCTAGTATAAAGTTATTAGCGATATTTCTTGACAACAGTCAAGGAATTTTTATTTAATTTAGATGTGAAATTGGATAAAAAACTCCGCACTTAAGTAAAACAAACTCTCATTTTGGGTAACTTACTTTGCCACTTTTTAAGTTAATAAGAATATTGAGTAGCATCTCAAGACAGCCGTAGGTGAGAATAGTTGGTTCAAAACTCATATGGGTCATGATTATGTTGACAAGGAGAGTGTGATCGAATAAACCAATCACTTGGGTCACCTCCGATAGGGTCTAAAAGTAAATAAAGCCATCCATAAATAATAAAACTAATTAGGATTCAGGAATTTATGAATTTGAATCTTTACAACTAATCATAATACGGATTGGTGATAATTGCTGTAGCAATCGAAGACAAAAGACTAACTATGAATGGCTAAAACCGCAGGGACGCATTACAGAAGGACAATCAAATTCGCCTCAACTGCTGGATACTGCTCAAACCTGAAGTCTTGCATGATGCCTTAGAAGAGGGACAAGACTGGCTTTAAACAGAGTAGAACCTTAAAAGTTCATTAAAAGAATGGAGAAGGAATGCATACCAGATGTTCCCACACAAAAAAGCGACTAGCCCATAAAAATTGGTTTACTTTCTCAACCAGAACCATCATTGAAGTAGCATCACATCGTAGGAGCTTACTCATTCCTATCCCTCGGTTATCATATCATTTGGAGAAGATTATCTCATTACCCTTTTCAGTCCTCGGAGGTTGGAGGACTTCCACGATGGCAGTGTGTGAAAGAGCCCAAAAAATTGTAACTGTGGGCAACATAAACATTATGGGATAGGAGTCTTTAGGACTTCGTGACGCGAGGAGAAAAATTTTTGCCCCGGATTATGAGGTTGGCATATAATCACGAGTGAATATAACTGCTGGAATAATGAGTGTGACTACAAATGGGCGCGAGGTTGGGTGACTAACCTGAACAGCAAGATGCCTTACTGAAGCGTTGACATCACACGTACATTCAACAGCCGCATGAAGAGCAACAGTAAGACAAGTCCGAAAGCCGCAATTAGAAGAGGACGACGAATTTGTGGAAAGTGATGCAGTTGAGGAGAAGCTAGAGAGAGACGCGATACCAGTGGTGTCTGAGGGAAGGCTGCGCTCAGTAAAGATGATGCTTGAACCGCTTGAGCGACTACTCTTTGGGGAAACAGCTGTACGCACATTCCATATTGCTTGTTGTAGCTAAGGCAAGAACCAAAAAATGACAGATCAAAATCAGAGAGTTACTCGTGTCTATATTGGTAATAAAATGAGTTTCAAACTGGTTCTACTTTCCAAAGAATATCGCAAATTCCACCACCCCTTAGTGAAAGCGTATTTCAATTGGTCTGTAATACAGAGCTGCGCACAAAACCAATCCCGGTGGACCGAAATAAAGTGCGTCCTTATCAAATTATGCTGCCGATTGGGCACGAAGACGCTGCCTGCATGTTAACCAATGAAAGTAGCTCACCAGAAAGTGCGGTTGAAGAAACAAGCCCCAGAGGAAGCACCGAGTGCGGCGCTCAAAACGATGGCGAGACTATGCAATCCATGGATGCATCTTTTGGGTGACGAGCGGTCAGATTACACCAACCTCGTGACTAAACGGACGTCACCAGAATACTGATCCCCCTTCTCATACAAACTGTCCATATTATACAATATTTAAAGTCTTCCCCCCGCCGACCTTCTCAATTCAAGGATCCAAGGCCGGAGGCGGGAGAGAGAGGCTAAAGAAGCTGGATCAGTAACGCACAATTCACCACCCAGACATGAGTGAGTTGCCATGCAGAAACCCAATGAGGAACTTCTTCATTAGGCTAACAACCTCAAATTACATCATTTGCAACTGACCATTTAGCCGAGTGCAAAATAACGGGAGAAGGGGTAGAGAAAACAAAAAACGGACCACCGATTCAGTGGGTCATATCTACATGCTTTATTTCGGATATATTTCACGAGTTACCTAAAATTTTCATTATTTTAGGAGAATATAGTCACTCTTTCTATTTATTACCTCGTTTGTTTCGAGTTGTTTCAAACGCATCAACAGCGGTGCAGTCTCATTAACTTCAGTTGCCCTGTTGAAAGCAGAAATGAGATGCACGATTATGCAGCAATAAAGACAATTTTTTTTATAGTGCAACAAAACAAACCACTTACCTGCTTCGAAAAACGGAGCTCGGCCTCTACAAGGAAAGGAAGGAAAAATATGTGAGACGTAAAAGACATTATTTGATGACAGAGGGATGGAAGGAGCGACTGAGGGAAACTCACTTGAGAAGAGAATGAAAATCTTCGTCCAGCAAGAGGATCAAAGAGGGGCAAGAAAACTGATTTTTTGGGTTTTGCTGAAAAAAAAAAACAAGATTGGAGTTGTTTGCCTTTGTTTTAGTCAAGTAAACCACCCCATCCTAAAAAGTCTGCAATTTGCAAATGTGTATTGTCTTTCAAATTCAAAAACACTGCCGTACCCAAACTTGCTTTTGATTGCGCCTACTTCCACAGCTATCTGCCGACGCCTCTTCATGGGGTCATGCGACCAGCTACTGTCAAGGTCAGGTGGCAGACATTCCTTAGGCAAGACTGTGACTTCCTTCCTCCTATTCTGAAGTCTGAGTTCTCTCATCGATAAGTTTCAGGGTGCCTGATATGATGAATGGCGCCTTCTTCTTTTCTCAAATTCAATGTCGCATTGTATCGTATGGAGCAGTGTCTACAGCAAAGTCCTCTTGGCAGGAAGCGGTGTGGAATACAAAGTAATTAGACGGCTTGGTCCTCACTGTAGCTTCTACTTCTCGCCTTCCCCTTCTCATATGAAATACTCACATCGAAATTGACTAAAGGCTCGCCTTGACAAGTTGACAGCGAAGTTAGGTATCGGTGATCACATGCACTTCTTCACGCTTCAGCAGAGAGGGCCCTTTCTAGCCGCAATCCACCTATCCATCTAGATGCGATTCATCGCCAGAAACAAACGCACGACATCTCTTGTCAGTACTCTAAACTATCACACCTTCACCAAATGCTACAGCGGTTTGACAAGGAAGAGTCGTTCTGCTTTTGCATTTTAGGATCCAACGTCGAAGTCATAAAGCAATTAAGCCTCGGATTGCACCACCTCCATTAAATTCAAACTATGTGAGGAGTTTAGAGTGACGTAAAAAGAGCAATGAGTACAATAGCTAATGGTGGATCTGAATGACGCACATTCACACAGGCGCATCGAGCCACCACATACCACCTCCCTTGTGACACCAAGTGCCAGTATTTCTGGCTATTTTCCTGTCGAAAAGTAGCCTAAACGAACACTCCCTGTGTTTCCAGTGGAAAGCTGACTAAAGGGCTCAGAAATGCTTTGACTTAGTAACTCACAAGGAACAGTGAAGTTTCTTTGATACTCCTCGAGAAGCACTTTGCTGACCTTTAAAAAAGCCGCAAGATGACCTGAACACCAGGCCATTTTACATTCTCGAGTCTTATCTGAAATCGAGAAAAAGTGCTTTTGTCAAAAACTTGACTCAATTATGAATCTCGTTTATGTTTTCAAGAAGACTTAATTATTCACTTCTTTTGAGGTCTAATTATAGGAGATAAAGGCGAAATTTACTTGTTTGCATAAGTAGTATATACCTTCTTGTTCAAGACTAAATTCGGACAACTTTGGCAGTTGATTGAAGGGTTTGAAGAGCACATCCTGACGAGATATCCAAGCCTGCGTCAGAACCATCACCAGAGCACGCGCCATTTGGGCGGAGTTCTTGTGCCGGCGAACTAAAAATTTTCCCACTTTTAGATTTCATCAAAAAAAGGAAAAAATTGGGGCAGAAAACTTTATTTTTTTCTTAAGGATTCCACCTGATTGTCAGTACACCTATGCTCTTAGTGAAAGAAATGCCGATTCGCCAATTTTCGTGAGAATTTTCGTATAAAGACACGCGTCAGCATCTCAAGATGTACTTTCTCTAGCGAAAGTACAGGCTATTTTTATCCTGACAACCGGTAGCAAATTTCCCTTGTTTCGGTGTTTCAATAAAGGTTGTTAGAAATGCGCTGCCGAGTTTTACGTCCCATCAAAAAAGAAAGCGCATTCGCGGCAAACAAGTATTTGCTTTGTAAATTATCTTTTGCTAGTTTGACTAAAAACGTGGAACTTGGTCGATTAAGAGGTCAATCTTACCCAACCATTTTGCCCTTCCATTTTTACCCCACCCAGGAATAATATGTGGCCTTTTACTCAGACATGTGTAAATGACACCAAAATGTGATTGTTGGTGGCCTTAATGCTATCAATTTTCGTTAAAATGATGCAAGAATAAGCTAAACATCCGTTTCATAAATATGCTCATCTTATTGGTCAACGCTGCTCTCCTGACCTTGAATTGATAACAACGACCTAATCAGGTTCTAGGAGCACCTTTAATCAAAGGACCTGATTCAAATTGGAACCGTGTTGTTTTTTGTTGACATTTTTTGCCTAGAATGCAGCAAGAATCAAATAAAAATCGGTTACAATGTGCGCTCACCCTATTGGTCGGCACCGCTCTCCTGACCTTGAAATATTGACAACGATCAAAGCAGGTTTCAGGAATAGACTTAGTCGAAATAACTGATTAAATTAAGAACTGTGGAGTGGTTTTCAGGACATTTTGACAGGACCAAATCTTTTTCTAAACTTACTGTCAGCGACCAGGAGTTCGGCTGCGGAATCACGAACACGTGCTGATGGATGACTCAATAAGGTCTCACAGAGTGATGCCACGTGGAGCCAATCTAGGTGGCAGTAGGCTTTATTTGGCATCTAAAAGTGAAGTAAATGAAAACCTTCAGGTTATTTTTTGCCTTTTCGGGCATAAATTGCAACCGCCTTGTCCTTAGGAAACTAAGAAATGTTCTAGTTAAATTATTAACCTGTTTTTAATAAACTATGGTAATTCCGAAAATCTAACTGGTAAATTCTAACGAATTGTTAATTCGTTTTCTATTCCCTCGGGGAGAATTTCGGCTCCTTGTTTACAATGCCTTCCCTTCGAGGTTGCGCAAGCAGATGGGCAGGATGCCAATCGGCATCTGCTACTCTGCTACGAAACTGTGCAGTTGGTTCTAATGAGGGGAAAAGCGCTTTTCCATACTTCGGGATTAGTCATCCTCTGAAAACTCACCTATGAGTAGATCGAATTGCTCTAAAACAGCTTCCCTGATAGATGTGGGAGGTTAAGAACAGCCGTTTACTGTCGGAGTCACATGGAGTGAAGAATGAATAAAGAAAGATGACGTTTGAAGAGGCCATGGCAGAGCTTGACATAAGGGCATCGGATTTACCCGCGTGCTGATTCATTATAACCTCAGGTTCAACCAACCACATGCCAAGGTGATCATTAAAGAGCACAAACCTAAGCGCACAGATTGCGTACATTATAGTACTAAAAATTGAAAGTTCATCACAGCGGATAACCAATGTAAGGTCATGAAAGATACCACAGCAGGTCATATTCCCCAAGTCTTTCTTAAATCCGCGTAGAATGAAAAGTACACTCGAAAAGTGCTCATTCATGGAAAGTAAAGCCTCCTTCTAGACGATGGAGTAATCCAAATAGCTTAATGCATGATATAGGTTAAAAGCTACCGTCTAGATCATCTAGAAGAGCTCCCTCACTATGTCGAAAGAAGGGAGCATATCACATGGGTGGTAAAAAGGTAAGGGGCTATACATCGAGACAAGATGCAGCCGCTTCTTAAAGATCCATCCGAAGTGGCATTAAAAAACAATTACTGATTTGTGCAACAGTAAAACGTGATGACTATGTCATCGTGATCGTGTGAAACATGAAAGAGAAATGAATGGGGCTAGTTAATCGGTGGGGAGAGTTTGCTTCTTTTACTCTTACTCCCTCCCTCCACCCCACCTTCGAATCCGATAGTAACGCAAAAGCCTCATATAAATCTGTGGAGTGGAGGGAGTAAGATATCGCCTCGATTCATTCCAATCTGGTTCACATCTTGTAGAAAAGTTTTCTCTTTTTCCCCAGGGATAAGGGGAATATCTCACCCCGATCTGTCGACCCCACATTGACCTCTGTACTTTGGTAGGGAAGAAGATGCAGGAAGAAAGAAATAGAGACATCGCCTCACCTCACCCACTTTCCCATCCTCCATATTTCTCTCATAATCCCCCCCCCCCCCTATCCCTAAATTATAGCTGAGAAACCGAAGGAGGAGTAAACAGAGCTAGATACTAGATTTTTTGCCTTTTTATGCTCCTAGGAAAAGAAAGGAAGTTAGGGTCCATCTCGGTAACCAAAATAAGCTCCGAGTAAGTAGTAAGGACCTGAAAATGTCTTGTTACTCTCCGATTTTAAATAATACTACCTTACTGTTGCGCAGATCACATGACAAGTAACACGCGGTTGTTAAAGTCATGTTACTAAGGCGCATCAAGGAGACAAGTTAGAAACTTCCTTCAGTGACATCAAAAAAATGGTGATAATTCCTTCTACAAATCTACGGGAATTTTCTATTCTGTCCCCTTTCTGACGAGAAAAAAATACTCGTAAATAGGAAGTCTGCATGCTTTAACTAGGAAATTGTCCAGATCTATTTTTCAGTGTATTGACAAAGGAAGCCAACCATTCAAGGTGAGGGTCAAATGATCAGGTCACAGGCATGGCTTGTTTGAATTTGATGTGAGCCACATTCCTGTAGGAACGCTTTTTTAAGAAGGAGAAAAGGAAATTATTTGCCGTCAAAATAAACCTACGTCTGTAATCTTGGCACTGATGGTAGTGAGGCTCTCAACAAGGCATTGGCTCAACTTCGGTTTTCCACTTGTTATATTCTGAAGAGAAGAGAAAAAAGGTAATTTGGCACAAAAAAGGGATATTTAAACTAGGAGTCCTTTTTAAAGATTCAAAAAAATATCGTTTTTCTGGTCGGATAACTCACTTTGGCGATTTCATCCACCCGAGTGGAGATGTCGAGGTCCAGGGTGTCGATGGCATTTCCAAGGATTTTGGCCTGATTCTATAAAACGGAAAATATTAAAAATAACCTCTCACACAAAAAATACTTAAATAGTTTTTAAACAATTTATTTGCTTTCCTCGTCTTTTTACTTCCCTCTCGATGTCAGCTGTGTGAGACAGAGTTTCATATTTCGACACTTAATTACGTTAGGAATTTAAACAAACTAAGCTGATTCATCCTCAAATTCTTTGAGAAAAAAGTTGACAGCTCTGCCGAACTCCCGCTGATCGCAATTGGCTCTCCTCAACTGGCGAAGTAGAAACTACGATCTTTTTACTAGCCAAAGGTCCCTAACTTGGTGGTAAGTTAATAACTTTCAAAGAAAAGAATGGCTAAAGTTTGGTTCTTTTAGAGTTTAATCTACCTGACCAATAATTGGCCAGTTGTTGGTCATAAATCTTGTATCTTTATTTCGGCATCTAAGCCCTTCGTCAAGCATGAGGGTGCACGTCAACCGGGCCAGAGAGATTGCGAGATCTGGACCAGCTAAGGTAAACCCATGAAATAATGGGTTTAAGAAATCCGTTGCCAAGGGAGGGTTGAGAAAAGAAAGTCCTCCACTACTACCTCCGGATGCATGAAGGAGACACAGGTTGTGTAGATTGATACCGCCAGCTGACGAATTGGAAGCCGATGATTGGAGAGCAGCCCCAGAGTCAAATTCCGAATTTTCGGTAGCAAAATCCTCTTTATATTCTCCTCTTCAGGGTGCTGAAGTTAAAAGCTTTATTGAAAACATTGCTAGTGTTACCAAGCTCTACTCACACCTTCATTGTTACCGACTTTCCAGCCAATGTATAGCACAAATTTGCTAATATCGTGGGTAGGAATGAATGAACAACTAGTCATGTATTAATTGCTGGTACAAGTGGATAACTAGGCTTATCCCCAAAGTTGACCCAGCCCATGAATCATCAAATTGACCCATTGTTCTGTTGTCATGGCGGCATTGTAAAAACAGTACCAAGACTTTCTTGATTATGGGAGCTTGGGAGAATGTTCTAGCGTGTGAAAAGGTATCTAATCTTGCTCCTAAGTATGGAAAAATACAAAGTCACTAGTTGCTTAGTATTTTTTGCGTTACTAAAGAATATACTTATTCGGCATTTTAATAATTTTAAACAATATATTTATTAAAGGAAAGAAAGTTCCTGTAACATTTCCTTATAAATAGCAACATAATAATGAATAAACAGCCACCTTAAAATGGTATTAAGCAGATCCTTTGTGTGGCAATAAAATTAAATAATTTTGGAATTTTTGTCCCAGCATTCAGCAAGGCTGGGCGCTATATACACAGTGTTAGCTTAAAAAAATGAAGCTAAAAAAAAATGACCTAAATTTTATTTGACTTTGAATGTCCAATGGAAGTGCAGACTAGCACAAAGTACCAATTAAGAAGTATCTGGCCTCAAGTGCCCAATAAAAATGCACCTTTACGTAATTAACCAATCAGAAAGTGCACTAATAAAAAGCCGGTTATTTGGATGCATCCGCCATTTTTGGGCCATTGTCGGATTCATTAAATACATACTTTTTGAAAGTACACGAAGTGAACTTTAAACACACCATAGTTTGAGATTTATTGCGGCCGTTAATAAGAGGGCCCTCCTCTGTATTTTGTTTTTTGTTTAAAGCATTGGCAAACACAAGTGAGATACGCTGTTTTAACAGTTGACCGCCTGTTTTTTCCCCGTTATTCGGCTCCTCAATTGGTGGCTGTAGTTTGTCCACAAAACTTTGAATGACTACAAAAAAGGAGATAGAAGGTTTGAACAGTTGAAAGGAAGGCTCACTCATAAAAAATTGCGAAAGAAATTTGTGTGATTTTTCTTAATGAATGGGTTTTATTTATCAATTCGTACTGGAAAATGGCACAAATGATTAGTTTTAAAACAATCTTACGTTTTAACAAGCTTTCTTGTTGGCTCCAATTTGCAGGGGGCGTCTGACGAAATAGCTGAAACACATATTAAGCGTTGTTCTTTGAAAATAGGAAAAAAACCTTGATAACCGTTAATTAAGGTGATAAGTTTAAGTGACAATTTTTTGGTTAATTCGTTTTTAAAAGTGTGTAAGTGTTACGTGGACAGAGATTCCTGCGGTTGACAGTTTAGTCTGTTGCAGTGATTGGTCGTAGCTTAGAAAGACCTGGAAACGACGGCCAATTGTTCATGTACGTTATGACTCAAATATGTATAAGTCCGTCAGTATTCGCTCAAAGATGGTGCATCGTTATTGTGAAACGCTTTATTCTTAGTCAAGAGTCAATACGAGATCACTATGTCAAGAACAACTCTAAGGTATGTTTTTTTTGGTTTTTTTTAACATCGACATCAGTACCCCGAAGCGTAACAGAACCGGTTAAGCGTGTGGATTCCACACCCACACAGAGGCCACTTATTTGTTATTGGTTGGTTATTTGTTGACTTACGCAGTTGTTATATCTTTTGTGATTTAATAGTGACTCTATCGGTGTTCATCTCAGCACAGTCTGCTTAGTAGTGCCCCACTGCTTCAGTCTCAGAAGATCAGTTTGTGTGGGCATGGTATGTCACCGAAGATAGACCTATATTTACACTCGCAATCTACCCACTTGGTATGGTGCAATTTGAAAGAACGCGAGAAAAATTTACAGTCCCAGAGCAATCATCATGAGTCGTTCAGTCGAAAGGTAGACCCATGCTTACCCTGACAGTGAAAGATTGCGCGATGAAGTACGCAATAGCCAGAACAATTGCATTTTATGAAGGGAGAGAGGAAAACACTACCTCGCCTCAGCCTCTTTAGATCATTTGACATGTTCCATCAAGTGATCGTTTGATATAAATATACCAAGAAAGCCCGACAGTCTCATAGGAAAGAGAGTAGGCAGTTTGACGGTAGAGCAGAACTGGAAATGGGTGCAAGTAGAGAGAAGTCTTCTTTTAATACTCTTTCTAGAGACAACAAGCTTTTGCGCTTACCTTGTGCCTAGTTAAGAGAGGAGTTCTAAGAAATTTTTCGTGGTTAATTTACTTTTCTTTTAATAAAACAATGGCATGGATTTATTTGGTTTTTCTCAAATAGGGGGGATATTTTGGCGTCTTTCTTATCACTCAATATCCGGACAGATTGAATAGACTGTAGAATAGAAGGTCAAGCGCCTTGCGTATTATTTCTTCACAAAAGTTCACCCAAATGACAGCTAAATGAGGGTCAACCAGGAGAACAAGACTGCGATGTCACGTGTGTACCTTAGTGAGGAATGCACTTTGACCGTCAAAGGTCAATGCAGCTTTGAATGTCTGCTTTGGCTACGCAGTGTTTTTCCAGGAAGGAATCAAATTTGACAAAGCGGATATTTTAACAAATTGGATTAGGAAAGCATTTTCAACATTCAGCGACTGCTTAAATGGAGGAGAGAAAGGCGAGAAATCATAACTCACTTCAATCCAACGAAGGCAAAAAGCAGCAGAAGTGGATAGGGGAGCCTTTTCAAAGAAGACCTTAAGACGTTTAAACGCCAAATTGCGTATCCCCTCCAACTGATCACCAGTGCATGTCAAAATCAAACTCTGAATGAAAAAAAAGGGGTGAAATTTTTTTTTATATTTTCTTATTTCTGTATAAAAGCGTTTAAGTAATGAGATGCTATACACCAAGGCATGTGTATTTAATTTTTCATAAGCAATCAATGCGAACATGAAGTTAAATTAAAAGCGTTAAATCTGTCGTTTATCTTCAAAAGTACAAAGTAGTTTTATGATCGCACATTGTAGTCGTATTTTTTGTTATTTCCACAAGAAAATAAACGACATTAGTGACTCCGATACACCAAGGATTTAAACAGGTAACACTAGTTGTTCTCCTCGCCCCACCCACTCGCTCCCTTCCCTACTCTGCTTCCCCATGATATGTTTACATTAAGAGGCATAATTTAAGACCGATCTTCTTTCTCTTCACAAGGCATTGATGAGGAGATCCTTGCTAAGACGAGGAAAGAAGTTTTCCAGGGAAATTTTCCTACTTTCATCGGAATAGCTACCCAATTAAGACTGTACCGCAGAAGTTGACAGAAGGGAGGACTAAAACATGGCTAAAAGTAGGTTAATCTTGAGCTGGAATACATTGGTAACAAACAGACCCTGATGATATCGTTTCTATGGCCACTACAAAACAATGAAGGCTGTTTTTTTGCTTGAGATAAAGTCAACATAAACATTGACAATTAAAGGTGTTTTTCCTTTCTCCTACAGAATAGGGGCGGTTTATGGTTGAGTAGATATGTTCACAAGCCGTGATAGGGATATAAGCACCTGCATAAGTGTTCATTTACCCATTTTATTGTTTTGGCGTTTCTATACTTAGTTATTGTACTCAGGAAACACTGACAGGAAATAGGCATCCTTTTGTGGGCCATAGGAATTATTGTTTGTTGCAAAACTTTAAAAAAAGGAAAAACGTCCGCCTCATTTTTATCGCCTATCCAAAATTCGTGATGTTTATTTCCAAATTTGGTTCTAGAGTAGATATAAGGTCTTAGAAAAGTTTAGGGGACCAAATTGAATAAAGCGGTATGCAGAATATTGTCCCCTTTGAAATTAGCAAGGCATTGTTTTTGAATCTACCGATAGCCGCTAAATGGTAAGTTTTTGCACATTAACCACTTAATAAAGCAGACTACACCATTTATTTCCTATTTCCTACCCATGAGAATGCAATAATTTAATGCGTAGGAGCTAAATAAGACATTTTTGATTGACTTGGCCTTTAATGCCATTTTCTCCTACTCAGTAATTAAGCGTATTGACAAGATGGTGAAACAAAATTTTAACCTGCACAGGTTTCTTGATTGAATACACTTTGTTGTTGATAATAGTCAAGTTGGTCACCTATTTTACCCCCAATTAAGCACAAAAAACTCACTTCGATTGAAGATTTCAACTGATCAATTGTCTTCTGAATACCTTTGTGTTCAACCAGAGCACCATTTGACTCCATCACGGTTGAAACCCACTTTCCTGTGGAGACAGTGTCACTTTGCTCTTCATCCGTCAACCCAGAAACTGAACCAAGATCACCGGCCTCCGAGAGTCCGTCAAAAGATCCCCCTCGCGCCAGAACCAATGGCGAAGAGGGGTTGAAGTCAAGGTTACACTTTTTCAATCGACACACCAGCCAGCGTAGAGCATGAGAGACAAGATGTTTGCGAGCAGTTGGATGATTTTGTGCTGTTAATATTTTTTTCAAAAAAAGATGCTACCTGACGCATAGGATAATTTTCTATGACAGCACATAAACAAAAACGCTGAGTCGTAAAAAAGCAAATTGGATACCAAAAATTGCCTACAAATTACCAAAAAACTTTACACTTATGTAATTCAAAGCAACTTTCGGAATTTTATGAACAAGCCAAAGGATAATTGTTTATAGAATTCGCATAGCACAATTTATGATAGTTGAGAGATTGCTTCGTTCACACCCGATTAAGACACACCCGTCTATTCCATTACAATTAACTAAATTAATTAATGACCTTGGATTTTTGGCTGTTGCTGTTTCACAGTTCTACAGTAGAATACACTTTTTGTAAGGTTTGAGTCCAAAATGCAATGATGTGGTTCAGTAATAATGCTTAATTCTAGATTCAACCATTAGGCAAAAAGATCAAATTGTTTTACAAGGAAAAATAGGTTCTAAAAATTACAAATGGTACTCTATAAGCGAAAAAGACTAATGAATTATGAAGTAAATAGAGCCGTGATTATTTCATTGCTTTGGGAACCAGTTTTTAGAGATTAAAGAAGACACACCCAATTGAATTGCTGCAGTATACATCTGCAAATTTTGGTTGACAAGAGGCCGAGTTGTTAACCTAAGTAATATAGAATGAAAAATATTAAGTAGATAAATTTTTTTTAATATAATAAAGAGTTCGCAAGTACCAGCAGATAATGGATTCCGTTGGCGCGTTCAATCGGTCAGAGTACTTCTTCTCATCATCGACTGAAACATTTCGTGTAGGTTTGCTATAATTTACTGTTGCAACACTAGCAACGTCCGTGTTGCAAATGTCACTTGAACGATATCGACGAGAAAACAAGTAAAATACGAACCTAAAAGAAAAAGTTAAAATCTTAAGCAGCAACTTTAGTTTCTCGTCATTTGTGCAAGGAACAAAATCGACTACTGTGGCTAATTAGTAAAATATAACAAAATTGCACTTGCGCTCAAATTTAAAGACCTAGAATGATGTGGTGCTAAAAACAATGAAAGAACGTCAAACGAAACGTTCTCTCAAACCAGATTTCATACCAGTCAAGAATTGCAGTTGAAGTTAGCACTATGCCCTGCTCTTTTGAAATAAAATCGATTGTCTTCAACAGTTTATCGCTTAGCAAATTTGCAGGAGCATCGTCCTGTGAGTCCACAAAGTCATGGCAGAAAATAGATGACAAGTTGGTAAGAAATTCATATTCCTCAACAGTCTGTGATATTTTTGAGGCGCTATGAAAACACGCCTCCAAAGCTTTGATATCCATTGTGAAAAGTGACCATTTCAAGAGATCGCGCAAGAACCAACTTTTCACATATTTTAGAAATTCAAACAAAACAAGGCCGCCGCAGATTTTAAAGAACTTAGATGCTACTAAAGCTAAAAAACAAAATCAACATTTTATTTTTAAAACATTAAGAATAGAGTTGCCTTATGCACATGAATTTTGAATCACTGTGTATTTTTGATAAAATATTACGAAATGATTAAAAATCCTAAGTTGTATGTTAAAAAAACCTGCAATTCGACTGCCTACCACAGACAAACATTGCTTGCAGTATTGCAAACTATTATGACCATGTCAACTAGCTTTTAGCCCTTCAATATATAATAAACTACAACTAACCCCTGATGAGTCCCACCCTAAATAAAGCGGTACACAGTAATTTAACTTTTGTCTTTTAAAAAAGACAACAGCCATTTTTAACACGATTTGATTCGAGTTTGTGTCAAAAAGTCATTGTCACACTAAAACAGTCAATCTCTACAAGCATTTGTACAGCGCCTTAAGACGAAAGAAGCTGCAATACTCGGGTAGAGCATACATGTTCGGCATTCAAAAGGTACTAGGGCTACTGGCATGGCCTGAAGGCTAGCCCACCCGGTGTGGTACAATGGCCGAGCCAAAAGTGGTTCTTTACCTAAAACGGGAGTTAAACAGCCACCGCATTACATAATGTCTTTCCTCTTTCGAGCGCTGTTTTCAGTGCTCGCCTTGGTCAACCCTTTGCGTCAGCCATCACAACGTAGTCGGCGCCCCAGTGAGACACGAGCCGGTTGTGTCAGCTATCAAATTACCCTGCAGCTGAGGAGATACTTGACCGCATTGTCACTGATCCCTTTTAGCAATTAAACTGGGTCTAGACTTTTGTCTGGTTCGGAATCTTGATTCAGGAACGAAGAATTGTGCTGGCCATCATGTGTTCCCATAGGTAGATGTTGACACACTAGCCTAAAAGCAGATTTGTGTAAGGATGAA